ATATGTGGCAAGAAAGAAAGGTAGGGAAAATTTTATAGTAGAAAAGTTGATTATACTGATAGTGGTATTTTTGAGTTAACAGTAGGCGAGAGACTTTGTTTGATATATGTTGAAAGTTAAGTTTTTGTCTCGGAAACAACAATTCTTCCATATGTGAAGCGTGAAATATATACTATGACTATTTCCAAATTTTAACGAATGATACTTGGGAAATGGTGGTGGTCAATTTGGAGCTCATGATTTAATGGTGCAAATTTTAAATGGTAATCTGTACTGATGGAATACGCCATTTTATAGATTTGAGATATCGACGAAGTTCATTTTATACATATTAAACTAAGGTCGCCATTGTTGTTGGGATTATTTGATTTGAGAGTATATAGTCTGTTAGGCCTGAGGTCCGAAACAGATGTTGTGTGTTTGGGATAGGTAACAGTGAACCTTAAAAATACACAATACTGATAACTGAGACGCCGCGTTCTACTTTTTCAAGCAACCGCTAAAAACGGCAAAACCCGCAAAATCTACCCAATATATGACACACCAATCTAACATGGGTCATAAGGGCTAAGAGATATATGTGTGTGTGTGTATATATATATACATACATACACACACACACACACACACACACACACACACACAATATATATGGAAAGGCTGGGTTCATGGTGGTGACTTCCAATTTGACCCAACTCCATGGGGTTCTACCTTGCCTTCCTGGTATTCCATATTTATGGCTCTTTTTCCAAAGGACTTGGCTCCCAATATTTCAGAATCGCTATACCCATGGTGCCAAAAAGCAAAGCTAATAACAATAGTTCGAGAGGTGTCCTTCCGCCTCAGGCTGAGGGTCTGTTGTTCTACCCTCCTTCTGGATGGTTATGTTGTTCATATGAAATACAAGTTGTCTATTTGTTTCTGTTTGTATCTTCAGTTTGGGAGATTTTTTTTTAAGCATTTTTATAGATTTAATTTAATTTTTTTTTTAAATTTTTTTTTTTTTCAACGTTTATTTATTTTTTGGGACAGAGAGAGACAGAGCATGAACGGGGAGGGGCAGAGAGAGAGGGGAGACACAGAATTTGGAAACAGGCTCCAGGTTTGAGCCATCAGCCCAGAAAGTCGGGACGCGGCTCGAGAACAGCAAGATTATGATATCTGAGCTGAAGTCGGACGTTTAACTGACTGCAGCCACCCAGGTGCCCCCCCTTTAATTTAATTTTTAAATGTGTAGAGCATTAGTGCATGCTTTCAAAAGTCAAAATTATGCAAAGTATAATTAACTTTTTAGTGGCAGCACCACCTCCTCCACCCCATTCTTCTACCTCTTGTAAATAATTCACCTTATCAAGCTTTTTCTGGTTTAACCTTTCTATGTTTTTCAAAATAAGCAGATATATATATTCCCTTATTTCCCTACACAAAAAGGTATACTACAACATTTTGCACTTTGCTTTTTTTCACTTGTAAGCTGGAAATCACTCTAAGTTATGCAGATCGCCCTATTCCTTATTTATTTATTTATTTATTTATTTATTTATTTATTTATTTAATTTTTGCCCATGCTCCGATATGGGGTTGAACTATGACCCTGAGATTCTCTGAGTTCCCCTGCTTGCAATCCCATAAAAATAACACCAGCATTTTTCACAGAGTTAAACAATCTTAAAATTTGTATGGAAACTGCAGAAAAGACCCCAAATAGCCAAAGCAATCTTGAAAAAAGAAACTGAAGCTGGAAGCATCACACTTCAGACTTTAACATTATATTACAAAGTTGTAATCATCTAGACAGTATGATACTGGAAAAACAGATACCAAATCAATGGGACAGATAGAGAACCCAGAAATGGACTCACCAAATATGGCCAATCAATTTGACAGCAGGAAAGAATATCTAATGGAATAAAGACAGTCTCTTCAGCAAGTGGTGCTGGGAAACTGGACAGCTTACATGCAGAAAATGGAACTGGGACCACTTTCTTACACCAGACAAAAGAAACTGAAAATGGATGAAAGACTCCAACGTAAGACAGAAAGCCATCAAAATCCCTCAGCAGGCAAAACCTCTCTGACCTCGGCGGCAATCCTTACGCACGTCTCTGGAGGCAAGGAAACCAAAGCAAAAATGAATCCATTGGGACCGCATCAAAATAAAAAAAGTTTTGCACACAGCCAAGGAAACAGTCAGCAAAACTAAAAGGCAAATCAACAGACTGGGAGAAGATATTTGCAAATGACATATTAGATAAAAAAAAGTTAGTATCTAAAATCTATAAAACAACTTCTATCAAACTAACATCCAAAAACAAATAATTCTGTGAAGAAATGGGCAAAAGACATGAATAGACATTCAAAGAAGATATCCAGATGGCCAACCCACACATGAAAAATGCTCCACATCACCACATCATCAGGGAAATACACATCAAAACCACAACGAGATACCTAACAATTACACACCTGTCAGAATGGCTAATATTAACAACTCAGGCAACAACGACAAGTTGGCGAGATGCGCGGAGAAAGAGGATCTCTTTTGGCACTGCTGGTGGGAATGCAGACTGGGGCAGCCACTTGGAAAACAGTATGGAGGTTCCTCGCAAAAATAGAACTACCCACCACTCAGTAATTGCACTGAATAGGGTATTTATCCAAGCGGGAGGTGTGTTGTTCAAGGCGACATTATGCACTCTTCAATGTTGCCACAGCAGCAGACCATCAACAACAGCCAAAGTATGGAAAGTATGGAAATAGCCAATGTCCATCGATGGATGAATGATAAAGATGGTATATAGGGGCGCCTGGGTGGCTCAGTCGGTTAAACGAACCACTTCGCCTTGTGGGCCGCGATCTCATGGTCCGCCTGGTGCCTGTGTCGGGCTCTGTGCTGACAGCTCAGAGCCTGGAGCCTGCTCACCTGTAGCCCCTCTGCCCTCCCCCATTCATGCCTTAGTTCTCTCTCTCTG